CTTGTGCGCTGTTCCATTCTCGATATGTGATTGGTTGGAGGGCAGTCTGAATTAGGAGTAGTAGTGTGAACGTTCAGTTGAACCTCTGATTACGACTGGTGCGTTCGCGGGCGGTAAAGTTCAGCTGAAGCACCTCGGAACCTCCGTGAACCTCCGCGGTAGTTTATACTTAAAATTTCTATGCCGTCTATTTTCAATAAAACTCTCAACAGATTTAGCATGAAGACATGTACGAGCATTCCAGCATTCGCTGACGTCTCCAACAGCGACACGAGGTTGGACACCACCGACTTGTCCACTGTCACCACGTCGCTGATGGCTTGCCGTTCGACGCGTCCAGCTCCTTCGCGTACATCGTGCTCCGTCAGGTCGCCGCCCGACGTGCTGCCTCCCACAGGACCTGCATACCACCATTACCAATGTACGCCAGATGAGGAGCGCACTCTTTCGTGTCCGTGCCGTAAATAGAATGATGTTCACGCTGGATGCGGCGTTCAAGGTGAAGTGGATCAGGTGCACCTTGGCGTTGTCGCCGTTTTTGCTGGTCTCCGTGGCCGAGTACTTCTTGCTCGACGCACTCGAGTCTAGCGCGATGTCCAGATTCGACGCCGCCACGACTGATGTGGAGGTTGCTGTCCGGCTTGCAGAGATCTGTGGTGCTGGAGTAAGACGACTACGTGGCTATGGTGACTGAAGTTTCACCGAATGGAGACTTATTCGACCTTGTGGCTCCCGCGTCACTCATGGCGACGAGATGGAGATTTGTTCCTCGCACTGGAGCTTTTATCTGTTCGGAAGCAAGACACCGCTGAAGTACGTCTGAAACTGGAGATATACGTGACTCGAGTTTGTGAAGAGGAAAGTGGATACGCGCATCCGCTAGTCATAGTGGCTATTGCCCGATTGGCTTTTCGATCAAGTCGAGCTAAAACGTCGGATATTCAGCACAAATTGCTGGATATTTTCACTAAACTCTACCCAGGAGCTGCTACTTTATGGCTGAATGAAGACGAAGCGCAGCATATCCAGTCAACGGCTAGTGTATCAACTGGATCCGGTTCGATTATCTCTGGGCCAGCGTCTGTGGAGGATAAATGGAGTCTTTGAAGAGTCAATATGGCTGTCGCTCGGAATCTATGGAAAATCTACTGAAGTTGGTGGGCCTGAAGAAAGTGAAGCAAGCTTCTGTAAATTTATTTAAGAATGCAATGGCCTTACAGCAATTATCGGCCACGCAACGGAAGAAAAACTTGATGGGGTTCAACTACAGCGTTGTAGGGAAACCTGGTACTGGGAAGACGGCAGTGACGCGATTATTTGATAATATCCTATATTAAATATCATAAGATTTTTACTCACTATACCCTCCACACTTAAGGCGATCGATACACTTCCAATTTTCTGCAATGAAAACAAGATCTCGGACCATGGTAGCCTTCAGCGAGCTTCTCTTCACCGTTATGACGTTTCCACTTGTCGAAAAAGCACGTTCTGACGGAACGCTTGTCGCCACGGTCCCCAGCCACTTTCTCGCTAGTCTGCGCAAGTTGGGGTAGTCATCTCCATTCGCCTTCCACCACGTGAAGGGATTCAGGTCATTTTTCACGGTAACAATGCACTCTAAATAGCGAGTGAACTCCCTTTTGCACTCTGTTTCTAAATCTGTGGCTGCGATTCGAGAAATATTCGGCCCGAAGAGATGATGGATCATGTCATTCCGTTGCTGCTGCTCCGCTTCTTCGATGGGTGTTTGGTGACGGGGATCCGTTCGTTCAGGTGGTAGCGTTTCGTTTGCCAGCTGCACCATTGCCTGTACAAGTTCGTTGCTTGCATTTGGCTTGTCGATAGGACTTAAGTGAGACATCCACTTTCCTACACGCGGATCCAAGTACGCAACCCACCTAAGCTCGCTTTTCTCCAAGTCCTCGAATCTTTAACGTACAATGTTAGCATTCCCTTTCTGCAGTCGTTCACCATTAACACCGTTTGAGCCACGTACGCTTCGTCACCGGCTTCTGCCGCAAGACTGGCAAAGAGATCCGTCTTCTCCAAATGCTTTCGAATACCGGATAACACAGGGAGAACCAGCGGCATCGTAGGATAAGTTTGTCCACCTAGTGTTTCTGAGGCAACGGCAAACGGCCCCAGCAGAGCTCGCAAGCACTTTATAGTGAGCCATTCCTCGGCAGTTGGACGATATAATTTTCTTGCCACATCTTTGAACTCTCGGATACCTTCAGGATTTTTCAGGTACGTGAAAAACTTCACTAGAGCTACTTCCAACTCTATCATTCTTTGGAGCATTTGCCAGCAACTATTCCATCTTGTGGCGCAGTCGACAATAGGCTTCTTAACTTCGTGATCTTTGACGCTGAAATGTTCAATTTGAAGAGCATTTAATCGGTTACAGCCCTTTGCTGACTTTCTAAAGTACACAGCAAGCGTCCGGAAGCGCTGAACAATTTCACGTACCCTATCCATCTCATTACGGTGAACCAACTCAATTGGGTCGGTTAAGAACTGCTCCATGTCATCGATTGCAACTTCGCGGAACCCCTCGATTTGGGTCCTGTCATCCACAGTCAGTGAAGCTTCTTCCTCATGACTGGGTGCAGGCAGTGTGCTAGGCATGACATGTGCTCGACATGTAATAGTTCACCAGCAGCAACCATGTTTGTGCCTCCATCTCTCAAAAACCGGACACAGTAGAGCTTAGACAACTGCCATTCCTCCATAATTTGTTCAATCGCGTCTGCAATGGCCGGTCCATCATGAATGCCGGCCAGCTCTTTAACTTCCAGAGTCCAATTCTGAGGGCAAAATTCATCGTCCACGTAATGTATAGTCAACGAAATGTAGCTTTTCGTGTTTCTGGAAGTCCAAATATCACAGGTCATTGAAAAATACCAACATCCCTTCACAATGGCATGTCGTACTCGTTTTCGATACTCCACAGCCAAAGCCACTATTTGTTGTGCGATTCGCTCAGGAAGCCTTATTTTGATTCCACCAATATCTTCCGTAATGTATCGAATAAATACGACAAATCCAGCATCTTCCACAATCTTCATCGGCCGAAAGTGCCGTGCGATCCACTCAGCAAGAAGAAGATTTACGCGTTTCTGTTGCTCCGCTGAAATGGTACGCAACTGCCTTTTTCCATTATGAAGAGGAGCTTGGCCTGTGCTCTGATTTCGCTGCTCCGCTTTGGTGTTGTACACCTTTAGCTCTTCAGAATGGTAGATTTCCATATGCTGCGGCAACTTCGACTGACCAACACGAAACTTAACTTTTGCACTGCAAAGTAAGCAATACGCGAGCTCGGCATGATCGTTATTCAAATCATTACGCTCAATTTGTCTGCACGCCTCGCTTCGAATGAGCCGAGCGAAATGCCAAACATCTCTCCTCTTCTGACGCTTCATAGTAAAGAGCACTAATCCCGATTCACTTTCAGCACGCTGTTGCAGTACCTGGACGTCAATGACGGCAACTTCGTTTTCGAGAACAGGAGGGCGGATGCATGGGTGCTGGGGTTGCTGTGGCGACTGGTATTGCCAGAATTGTTCCTGTGTCTGATGCTGCCAGTGCTGCGTCTGTGACTGTCGGTCTTGCCAGAATTGCTGTGGATGCTGTGTGAGCCGCTCCTGCACCTGTGGCTGGTGTGCTTGCCAGAGATGGAGAGGTTGCGCTTGCCAGAGCTGCTGTGGCCGCGGTTGCAGCGAGAGCTGTTGCTGGGACTGGTGCGATTGTCGAGAGAACGACCTCGATGGTTGAGCCGGGACGGAAGCTGGCACTGCAGTAGGCACTTCGTCATCGTAAGAAAGCACACGCCGAGGCGCTGGCGTACGGAGAGGACGTGGCGTGTGATGGCCGCGCGACTCGCGCCGCGAGTGCTGCTGTGCCTCCATAGGTATCGGAAAATGATGATCGCCTTCTCAGATAACACACAGCACGAACAAAACACTTGAATAAAGTATGTGCATAGTTTAACGCCGATGTACCATTGAGGATGTAGAAGGTAGTTGAAGTAGGTTTGAAGGGATTCAGATACCTTTCAGGGGTACCTCCGGATGCAGAGGTAACGGGAGGTTCACAAAGGTTCAGCGCCTGAACCTTCACACCACTAGTGATTACGGCAACCATAAATGTCCCATATTATGGTTGCTTTAGACCTTTATGGTTGCGTTAACATAATTTTAAAATTCCACGCGCTTTAATTTTCAGTTTTTCTCTTAGATGCGTATTTAAAATCTTGTTTCACTTTAGTACGTGTTTGTTCAGTTAGGTACGAGTAGCCAGAGCCGCTCATTTACGAAAAAGCGGAACCGACCTAACGACGCGTCAGCCGAATACGAAGAAGGGTGGGAAGAGAACACGATTGTGTCACCGACCTAACGACGCGTCAGCCGAATACGAAGAAGGGTGGGAAGAGAACAAGAGGCCAGAGAAGACGATACACGTTTCAAATGGAGACCCCAGCTGCGCATGGTAGGAAAACTGCCGTAGCAGGAGCACTTGTAGAATTATCTTACAGTTTGTACGCATGCATTTAAGGGCGGCGGCGGCGGGATCAAAACGTCGACCTGAGTTACATGCTGGTTACTCTCGGTATCACGAAGGATGATACCAACGATGGCGACCATCTTCCTGACGAAGAAGACAAGGGAGTTTATCTGATTGCTCGGATGCGCACTCTGCCGCACGCACGGGTGCGACTTTGGCCTATCATTTCAGTTGAAACATTTATTAAGCTTTAACAAATTGTGTGTTGTGTGTAGAGCACCACCTGAAAGAACACGCTGTCACGGTTGATAAGGGTGTGGAAGCAGTCAAAGCTGAGGAGGAAGTCAAGATGATACAGAACTCTGTCAAGGAAGAGACGGAAGCGATCAGCACGACGTCCGGTGCGAATCGTTTATGCATTTACCGTAAGGTTGCGTTAAGTTTGTGGTGCTTCGATTATACTCTGCTTATTGGATATCTGTGGTTATTCTTGTAGAGCACAAGAAAGACGTTTTATCTATCAGAAAGAAGCGGAATGTTGAGGAAATCTAGTACCAGTCGGGTGATAGTGCCTGTGGCGATGATGGTAAATCAAAACGGCCGGAATATATGCCAAGAAAACGCTCAAGCAAGCAGATTGAAGGGCTGCACTCGCTGGTCTTGGAGGACAAAATTACAAACGTCATTCCCCCTTTCCCATCGGAGTCCATAGAATCATGGGAAAAGTTTGAGAGTGTCCTCAAAGAATACAAGCGGAAGAACAATCTAAAGTTTCGGGTACGGAGTTTGGAAACGACGGCTCTCTACAACAGGTACGGCGTCGTGTTTGTTCTCCTAAAATGCAGTATTTAACAGAGACGTGCTATTGCTAATCAGATCACACGATCAACAGATCCCGACTGACTTTCAGTGGACACACAAAATTTATCGCTGCACACACGGAGTTTCGCAAGAGTCACGGTCAAAGGGCCATCGGAATCGCGAACGACGATACTGCGGTTGCAAGGCGCGATATACACCCACTGTTTCTCAACAAGATGACAGCACGTATGCGACCATTATCCGGAATGAGGTATGCAATCTGGTATTCATCGTTGTTGTTTTATATTGTCAATTAACAGCTAAAGGTTCATGACTACAGAGGTGTACGCACTCGAATCCCACGTCTTCTACCCAAGCTTCGACATTCCTTACAACGAAGACTCTGCCACTCGACGACGAAGACCGCGAGGACGTGAAAACCCTGGCTGACGCTTGTGTGTCGTCCACACACGTTGCAAATTTCCTAAGTGATCGCATGGGTAGGGTGCATGTGTCTGTTTCCGAACGCCACCAGATCTTGGCCAACGAAGTTATTTCAAAGTATGCATCTTGCCGCCTTCGCACCGAGTTTGTCACGCTGTCTGGTGGAGGTTTAATCAGCTTTGCAAATATTGTGGGTGGACTAACAGAACGCAGATCTAACGCACTCACACACAACTTGGTGGGTTAAAGGAAACTTTCGGACTGGCAGCAGTGCGGCGATTCCGCACTGGGCTGCCTTTCTGACCATCACTCTGCTAGCTAGTTCCAAAAGACGATTTAAAGAACTCATTCTGCTTCAACCTGAATGCGGTTTCCAACACGCCCTCCTCCGAAGTGAATCGGTCACTGAGGAAGATGCTGCTTCGACAAACCGATCATGGCGCACAATGCCTCGAGTCGCTCGCCAGCCAGTGCCTTTGTCATAATGTCGGAAGGGTTCACCTCAGTTTTGACTTTCCACAAATCCACGTCTCTGGTGTAGTGCCAGCGTAGCTCGATGTGTCGCGTTCTGCGACTGTAGGTCGGGTTCGTTGCCATGACGTAAGCGGCCTGGTTGTCAATTCCCATGCGAAAATTGGTCTTCAAGTTTGGGAAACCTTGGATCAGTAGGTTGTGTAATCCTTGGCCTTCCATACAAGCCTCGCACGCAGCTACGTACTCCGCCTCTGCGGTAGATTGAGCAACAATGCTCTGGCGCCTCGACGCCCAGGATATCGCTCCACCAGCCATACAGTGGACAAAACCTGTAATGCTTTTGCGTGTATCGGGGTCGTTCCCCCAATCCGAGTCACCGTAGCCGTCGATAGTTAGTTCCTTGTCTTGCTCTGCTGCTTTGGCACGGGTGTACACAATTCCTTGTGTTTTGGTTCTGATTAGGTACCGCAGCACTCTCGTGTCAGCGCCAATGTGCTGATGCGTAGGTTTTTGAACGTAGCGACTGAGTTGGCCAACAGCAAACGCTAGATCTGGGCGAGTGCAGGTCGTCAGGTACATTAGCGACCCCACCAGTTCACGATACGGAAAGTTCTTGCCGTTCGCAGCCACCTGCTTGCGCTGGTTTGTGTCAGTGTCCTTCACGGTAAGGCGCAAAGTCGTCTCCATCGGGATCCTACTGGGATGCGCACCACTGAAGTGGAAGCGCTCAATAATCTCGTCACAATACTTGGTCTGGTGTATTTTGATGGAGTCTTCACTCTGTTCCACCTGCACGCCCAAATATGTGTTGGATGACCTTGGTCCTTCAAACCATAGTCCTTGTCCAGCTTCTCAAACATTTTCTTCTTAAATTCTTCACTCTTGGTCGCGCACAAGATGTCGTCGACATCGAGGAGAACCATGGCAAACTCGCCATCTTTGTCGTAAAAATAGAGGCATGGCTCAGTCTCGCACTGCTTGAACCCATAGTTCACGATCCAACTATTCACCTCTGAATTCCACTCTCTTCCGGACTGGCGTAGTCCGTACAGTGCCTTGTTGATGATGTACATCATCCCGGCATCCTCGCACGGGTAGCCCTGGACTTCATCCAAATACTGCTTTATTCCAAGCGCAGCATTGAGGTACGCTGTGTTTACGTCGCCCTGGTAGATCACTAGATTTAAAATAATGCATACCGCGACAAACATTCTGAATGTCGCCATGCGTGTAACCGGTGAGAATGTGTCCGTGAAGTCGATTCCGAAACGTTGCTTATCTCCTCGGGCCACGACACGTGCTTTGAAGGTCACAATGTATCCTAAACGATCGGTTTTCACGTCAAAACCCCACATAGTCTTGATAGCATGCTGTCCTGCTGGCATCTCTGTTCTTGGAATCTGCAACAGCACGTCCTTGGACTTCAGTGAAGCCATCTCCTTGTCCATAGCCTCCTTCCAGAAACTTGCTTGCTTTGATCTGATTGCCTCTCTGTAGTTTCGTGGTATCTTGATGTCACTTGCGCGCAATCCACCTTTGTCACGGCGATCTACATGCAGTGCCTTGAAAGCTGAATACACCGCAAAGTCTTCGTATCGTTCAGGTTTGCGAGTATTTGGAACTTCGCGCAGTCCTGGTCGTCGTGCTGCTGTTGCACGCTTCGCTCCGACCTTGGTACGCTTCCGGTCTTGCGCACGGCGAACTTCTTCATCTCTCGGATGCACCTTGCCCACTAGTAGCTGCTGAGGAAACGCGAGAACACCACCTCCGGGTCCTGGTGGATCATTCATTTCATCACTCATGCCTTCATAGGCGGTATCTATTTCGTCACTCGGGTCGCAGTCGTAGCCGTTGCATTCGCTCTCCTCGCTATCATTTACCGGTGTTAAATCCGACACATGACTAACGTCCAGTCCATCATCTGTATCAAACTCATGCCCATCATGTTCATCAAATTCAGTTACCGACTCTGCGTCAATGTCACTTAGAGAATCTCCATCTTCCATCTGAGAAACATCAGCCGTGCGATTATTGTTGTCGTCATCAGCTTGAGAATCCTCATCAACTTAGGAATCATCTTCGCCAGAACCTCCATCAGCACAATGCTCAACAATGGTTGTATTTTCGCCCTCCTGCGTATCTTCGAACGCATCAACGTAGTCTGGAAGCGAGTTGTTCTTTAGGATGTCCTCCCATAATCGCTCGTCACGTTCACCCAGTGTACTGCTAGGCGTGTTGCTCGATGGCTGGTCGTACTTGGGTAGTACACTGCTCTCCACAATATTGTCCCACAAAGCTTCTTGAGCAACATCAAGGCCGTCGCTTGTAGCCACACTCTCCGTGTCGACATTACTATCAGCTCGCACGGATTCTGCGTCACACTCAGCTTGTTGAGACGCTTCATCACTATCACTTTCTACATTATCGAAAGCACCATCCTGCACAAACTCATCGAAAGTCTGCACCCACGTGTTCAACGTCGACTTGAAGGCACTTCCATAGCGGTCCTTGAACTTGATGTTTTCATTTACCTTCACATCTGCAACGAAGCCTTTCTGATACTCGGTAGGGAAGTACACTTGGCAGCCAATAACATCTTCTTGATAGCCGATCAAAAACCCCACTTTGCAGCTCGCACTTAGTTTCTTGCGCATTGCGGCCGGTGTATGACAGTACACCAGAGATCCAAACGCGCGGATGTGATGAAGATCTGGCTTCGTGCCGTACATCATCTCGTACGGGGTTCGCCCTGCTCCCTTACAGAAGACTCGATTCTTTAGATATACCCCAGTCTGTAGAGCATGCGTCCAAAACGATCTCGGAAGCCCTGAGTCGTGCATCATAGTCTTGACCATGTTAATCAGTGTCTGATGTGTCCTCTCCACCAAATTCAACTGTGAAGATTTTGGACCAACCTTCGTGTGGACAATTCCTTTCTCAGCATACCAGCTCTCCATTGAGTTGTTGCAGAATTCCTTGCCTTTGTCCGTGAGAACTTGCTTCACTGGCCCAATGTTGGCATCGTTCTCGTCACGAGCTGCAGCATCCCACCGTCGAAAGATCACTGTATCAACACGACGTCCGTGTTGCCGCTCGGCCCAGGCAATGTATTGCTTCATGTATCCATTCACCTCGCCTTCAGTCCTCGAACGTTGTAATGAAACGAGAGAAACCATCCATTACGACTAACAGTGCACTGTACTGTGTGCCGTTGTGAAGTCCAGGTATCAGTAAGTCGGCAAACACTAAGTCGTTCACTTTCTCGATGTTCCGCTCCAACTTCTTCCGGAAGGTTTTGCGTCTCTGCTTGTCGAAATGACAGTCAGTGCAATCCATCTTGCCACGCTTCTTCAGCATGATGCCCTTGGCCAATCAACGGTCAACCAGAAGACGAATGTACTCCGGGCATGTGTGCCCCAGACGCGCATGCCAGACGTCGATGTCCTCAACTCCATCCATCACCGCAAAATTTGCCACTACCTGCTTCCTAACAGCAGTAGACTTCTTGTTGACTTGAACACCACCGATGTTGTGCGCGTCAAATGTCCACAGTCGATGTTCATGCTTTGCTCGAATTACCTCCGTGTTGTCCTTCGACATACCAAATAGCAGTGACGTTTGATCCCACGACATCTTGAAGCCTTGCTCCAGTGCTTGGCGAGGTGAGAACAGGTTACAACCAGCATTCGGCACGTATAACACGTCTTCGACAAAGCAAATACCATCTCTTCGTCTATCATGGTCGCGAGCAAAATCGTCCCAAAGCCTTCTGCTTGGGCGTCGACACCGTCCGCGAAGCCCGAAATTGTCGGGTTCGAGTCGCTGTCTTCCATGTTATTCAGTACCGTAAAGTACTCCTTGCTCGCCACAATATGGGCGCTGGTCCCACTGTCGAAATACCAACGACTGGAATCGTAGTCCTTCGCCACTCGCTTCACTACTTCTCCCAACACCACGTCACGCTTGTGCATGCGTGTATCCTCAACGGTCGCATCCGCTGTAACTTGAGCCGCGGGCTTGACATCAGACCGTGCCATCTTTGCCTTTGCACTCTTCTTCTCCCTGGGTTTGTCCTCCAGGTCCGGACACTGATGCTTGTAGTGGCCCTACCTCCGCAGTTAAAGCACTCGACGTCTGCCTTTGCCGTTCTCTTCTTGTTTGCATCTCCAGTAGTCTTGTTCTGACTGCTCTTATATCCGCTAGAAGCATTGTCTTGCTTCTTCTTGCCTTAGTTATTGCCAAATGCACTTTTCTCCCAGTCCTTACGGCGAGTCTCAGCGGTGAGAATCAATTCTAGTACAAGATCCGGTGTGTACTTGCTCATCTTCGAGCTAAATAGCACTTTTCTACGGAGCTCGTTGTAGCAAACCTGTGCTGGCAGGCTTCGCAGCAGCATGTCGACCATCTTAAGGTTGCTCAATGGTGATCCGAGCTCTGCGAGTTCGTTTCTAATGTGAAAGATCGCATACAAATGCCCTCGCACGTCACCATTCGCGCGCAGGTGAGTCCTGTGCAGCTCGCCCTGCAGGCGA